TGGTGGAAGTGGTGCTGGTGGAAGTGGTGCTGGTGGAAGTGGTGCTGGTGGAAGTGGTGCTGGTGGAAGTGGTGCTGGTGGAAGTGGTGCTGGTGGAAGTGGTGCTGGTAGAAGTCGTTGTTGGAGCCACTATCGTGGTGGTAGTCGTTGTTGGAGCCACTGTCGTGGTGGTAGTCGTCGTTGGAGCCACTGTCGTAGTGGTGGTGCTCGTCGTCGTTGTTGGAGCCACTGTACTGGAAGTGGTGGTAGTACTAGTTGTCGTCGTCGTTGTTGTCGGTGTTGGAGCCACTGTCGTGGTGCTCGTCGTCGTCGTCGGAGCCACTGTGGTAGTGGTGGTAGTCGTCGTCGTCGTCGTAGTAGTTGTTAGGGCCACTGTGGTGGTAGTGGTAGTGGTGGTCGGGGCTACTGTGGTGGTAGTAGTAGTGGTCGTGGTTGGGGCTACTATAGTGGTAGTGGTAGTCGTCGTGGTCGTCGTGGTCGTTGTTGGGGCTACTGTCGTCGTCGTGGTAGTCGTCGTCGTCACAGGAGCCGGGGTCGTTGTAGGCTTAGACGAAGTAGCGATAGTGGTAGTCGATGCGCTACTAGGAGGGGTGACACCAGCGGTAGTTGATGTGGTGGTAGACGTAGTGGTAGTTGATGTACTACCACTGAGGGCAGCCTCCGAGGTGGACGTGGTTGTAGGCTGAGTGGTGCTCTGAGATGTACTGACAATATTTGATGTCGTGCTTGTAGTTGTGCTCTCACTGACTGGTGACTGGGTCGAGGTGAGTACACTAGTAGATGTTGTTGTAGGACTCGGTGCTGAGGTGGTCAGGGACGTAGAGCTAGAAGTAGTGGACGTAGAGCTGGCCGACGAGGACGTCGTAACGCGAGGCGCAGCTAAGTAAATGGTCGTTAACACACTTGTTCGAGATAGTCATGTTAGGAGAGGTCGGGAAAACTCACGAGCTTGTACAAGCTGGATGGGATTTTCACAGTACTTGGCCTCAATCACGACGTAGATGTCACCCGAATCGAGGCAAAACCCTCCAGCGCCTTCTACTTCGGCCGTGGCCGTGGGGAAAGACCACTTGTGGAAGCCAGGCGGTACGCCGGACATCCGTATGAGCTGTGAGTCCTCGGTATCGCTCTCACTTCCGCACAGCAGGCCATTGCTCGTTAGGTAACCGTCCGAGTCTAAATAGAAGATCGCAGCTGAACTGTTGCCCTCGACCAAGACACCTCTATCGGTGCTGGCGTCGAAGCCGATGTGATCTTGGACCACATCTCTACGACGTTTCGTGTTGGTCGTGGCGAAGACTTCTAACACGAACCCGGACGGGTATACAACGACAGACGTGGTGGTGCTGCTCGATGTGGTCGATAAGCTACTAGTGGTAGTAGAGGCGCCAGTCGTGGTGGTAGAGCCACTAGAGGCAGAAGATGTCGTGCCAATTGACGTCGAGGACCCAGCGGCAGTGCTGCTCGATGTGGTCGATAAGCTACTGGTGGTAGTAGAGGCGCCAGTCGTGGTGGTAGAGCCACTAGAGGCAGAATATGTCGTGCCAGTTGACGTCGAGGACGCAGTGGCAGTAGTGCTGCTGGAAGAGCTGCCTAAAGTGCCTGTAGAGGTTAGGGAGCTGATCACCGAGTTGACGAAGTAGTAGAAAATGACTTGGGGGCATATGCTGAGGAGGTGATAGAGGGCGAGGGATTGACAGAGGATGAGGAAGTGACAGTAGACGTACTAGAACCTGCGCTGGTACTGCCAGATGATGTGCTTGTCTTGCTCGTGGTGGAGGAGCTGGACGAAGACGTGGTACTGCTGCTGGGGGTGCTTCTATTGATAGAACCGACGCTCGTACTTCTAGATGATGTGCTAGTCGTGCTACTCGTGGTGGAGGAGCTGGACGAAGACGTGGTACTGCTGCTGGTGAAGCTTCTTTTAATGGGGCCGACGCTCGCACTACCAGATGATGTGCTAGTCGTACTACTCGTGGCAGGGGAGCCGGTCAGAGAAGTACTACTGCTTGAAGTCGTAGTTCCGTTGATGGGACCAACGCTCGCACCGCCAGAAGTTGTGCTGCTTGTGATGATCATGGTAGAAATGCTGCCAGACTGTGTAGCACTGCTTGAACTTGTGTTGGAAGAAGCGCTCGTAGACGTGGTCCCACCAATCGGGCCAGCACCACTACTTGATGACCCGGTAGTGACGATCTCAGTTGTTGTCGTCTGGACCCAGTCCGACCACGACGCCGGCAGGGGAATACGGGATGGCCTTTGGATAAGTCAAGTCAGTATTGGAACATCGCATCCGCAAGTCAGAAACAAGTCAGGGGCACACCGCGGGGGAGAACTCACGTTGCCCATGGAAAGACAAAGGGTGGGATTACATCGACGATGACCTTGGTGATGGTTATATCAAACTCGATGGAGGTCGGCCGGGGACAGGTTCGTGTTACGGACGCCGTCCAGTCTCTACTAGGGAAGACAGCCTCGGTGGCCGTGACAGTCGTGGTTGCGACTCTCCCTTGGACGATGTAAGTAATGGTTCGTTCAGGAATCTGGACAGTGGCCGGTGGCGCGTGCTGTGTGAACTCGAAGACGTAGATGCCGGCGGCGGAGACGGACGTCTTGGTCGAGCATGCTGCTGATGCCGTCCGAGCCGATCTAGGCTTAGAGCCGAAGACCCAGACCTCGGGGTACTCGTGGCAGACTGTAGGTTGGCCGGACCCCTCGACACATTCGATCACGTCGAGGGTCTGCATCTTCTCTCCATGAGGTCCCATACAGTCGGTGCAAATGCCACTACCATCGTAGTTTGGAATGGCGTAAGGACCGAGATCCTTGTAGATGGCATTCCACTCCTTGTTGATAGTTGTGTACGTAGATACCGTCGAGGTCACCGTGATGGGTTTCCCCCCCTTGATGGTTGCCGTCGATATGATATGTGTATTAGTGATGGTGCCCGAAGATCGGGAGACCAGGACTGATTGTTCGGTCTTAGTCACGGTGGTCACCGGCGAGGGTGAGGCGAATGGGCAAGGAATGACGGTGGAAACAAAGTCGTAGGTCGAATAGTCATACTGTGTCCAACACTTCTTCCTAATACAGGCCTTGGCCGAAGCATCGCAGGTAGAAACACGCTGATATTGACTGGTGACGGTAATGGGGGCCGATGTCTTCCGGCCGGAAGCGGAGGGGCAAGGAGTCAGGGTAGTAATGGCCGTGTGCTTTGCTGCATCGACGAGACTGAGGCTGATGGCTGCCACGAACAACAACAGCTCACACACTGGAGGCCACATCGTGGCGTAAAGAGTGACTAGGGCGAGGTGTGTGGTAAAAACAGCATAGAGTAGAAGAGAAAGTTCAAATAAAGAGTGAGGGTGAAGCGATGCTCACCATCTTGATGCTGGTAGAGCCCCTTTCCGGTGTCAATCTCTCTTACGACTTGGCCTCAGTCAATATGATATCCACAAAACAGCATGAAAGGCGGTCCGTTCCCAGCATTGTGATATTTGTTCGAAGTCGACACATAGATGGCTACCTAGGTAGTCCGCCGATTGGAAGAGATAGGAACAAGACCTGGGAGCTAGCAGATGTGGGCGTGTTCGCCTAGGTAGTAGTAGTGTTGCGAGTGACCGTTGCTAAAGCCTGACAGTAGCGTCTAATGCTGATATTAATGGCGCTCGAGGCGCTCGGAGTCAGTAGCCAGACTGCCAGCGTCCTAGCCGGTTTGTACTGCTGCTGCGTAGACCGTCCAGACTCTAACACCAATCTTAAGTAAGCGAGACACCCCTATTTTATTCGGTACCAGGCATGTCCAGTTCACACACCTGTATTCACTGTTTCCCCAGCTGGTGAGGGGGGGGGGCAGACGTCTGGTAGTTTTGCCACATCCTTCATCCATAGGACGGGGATGATGTCTGTTCTGGTGGTGGTGGTTGGAGTGTTGAGCTTCGTCGAGAGCTCGCCTTGAGCCCGTCAGGGATGAAACTCGTCCCCTCACCAGACCTACTACCCTCTTTATATTAGTCATGTTCATGGCAGAGCTGGTCACAAGGCTGTAGGGATGGTCAGCATTCTCCGAGGTGTTGGTGTTCTCAAAAGAAGAGAAGACTGCAGCGCTAAGAAGGAATGCGTACCTATAAACAATCAAAGCGTGGTTTCACAGGGTTAGCCATGCGAAGTTTGATAGATGACAGGAAACCGGTCAGGCGTTGCGAGGAGGGAGTTCGCGTTGACATGTTCTTTGACGTTGGTCTCCAATTTGATCCTACTAAGCGAAGTAGGAATAAGGATTAACCCTAACCCTAAGATATACTGTAAATCATTGGACGATAAGACTAGGGGTTATCGATTGGTCAGTTACAATTCCTAGTCATGTGACTTGAGGTCTTGCGTACGGAGGATAGTTTATCCGCGCCGAGTGTTCTAGCCTCGCTGCTGCCTTGATTTAGGAACCTTCTTCCCTGACTACTTTTCTCTGCAAAGGGGGATCAAACAAAGATACAGCGTGGACGTGCATCCTGGATGCACTATCTACTCCATACGAATATAATACATAGGATTCGATTCAAGTCCTGCTCCCTGATGCATTAATCCCAAGTCCATCCCTGCCTGCGTGGTGAACGATGTGGAAAGGTCAATGATGTCGATCCAGGATCCAAACGAGGCACAGGCACAGGCACACAAGGACATCATGCCCTCGCCGGTGACCGTTTAATCCTCGTGTCGGTTCTTGAGCCTTGGTAATCCCGGCTTGACCCCCGGCTCTCCCAACCCTGAAACAAGCGGTAATGACTTTTTCTCGGTTGGGGTTCTTCCAATCCGGAAGATGTTGGTGAATTTCGTGTGACCGAATGCTTCCCTTGAGGAGAGAGTGTTAGGATCCCGGATGTACGGTGTATTGGGGGGGTTTCTGCCTGTAGATAATTGACTCACTCTATGATAAATACTGAGGACCGCCACCAGGCCAGAAAGGCGGACATCATCCAGAAGTAGGCGGCAACCTTGATGCCGGCACGCGTGGCGGCTTCGTCGTGGGCAAAAAGTGTGAGGGCGATGGTACAGCCGATGGAAAGAGTGAACAAGGTCAGTGAAAGGACCACGTCACGAGCAGTGGCTGCAATTGCGCAGACCCAGGTGGTCATGGTGAGTGGAATGAACCAGACCGCGAACTCGGGATAGTGAGTGTAGATGCTGTGGCCCTCGATCGATCCGGCCGCTCTGGATTCCAAGTCAGCTGAGCTACTCCTCCTAGACCCTGCCTGGTACACCCAGGGGCAGTATCGACAGGACAGACTACATAGTAGTAGTCCGTATAGGATGTGACATACACGAAAGCGTATAGAATTCCCAGGGCCATCCAAAACGACCCCCACATGGTGTTGACGACGGTGACCAAGACGTCTCGCGCTGCAAACCCATAGAGCCCAGCAATAAACTGAGCCAGGCCACCCCAAAGTCCGATGAAAGGGAAGAAGAGAAGAGGGCTGTCAGGATTCCCCCACCATCGACACACCCAGGTGCTGACAATCAGCGTCGAGCCTGCAAAGCCGGCCAGCCCGAGGGCTGCGGGAGGAGCGATTGGGCGGAGGGTGATGCGGACCTGAGCAGGGCTGTCGGAAACGAGACGAGCATGGCTTTCTGCATCAAAGTTGTCTGCTTCTTTAGGGGGGATTTGCTGAGCCTGGCCCTCAATATCGTAGTTGTCTGCCATCTTGGTCTTGAGTTTTCTTGTTCTTGCGAAGCTTAGGCTCGTGAAGCACCAGCAACTTCAACTTGGAGGCTAAAGGTGGAGGGTAGCAGCAGAGGGAGGCTGTTGATCTGGTAAGATATGGGTAGGTATTAGGTACCAGCTATCGGGGCTCGGCGTCGATTTGAAGCTTCGCTAGAATGTAGATCGCTGCATCACAACGCCATCTGTTGAAAGTTCTAAGCAGTCAGCCGATGGTGGAGAGACCATGGAGTAGTATGTACCAATACCAATATTAGTAGCGGGTGACGTGAGTCCGAGGCCGGTGCGTCAACTATTTATGTACTGTACAATGTTCCTAACAAAGCAGGTGCATAAAAGCCGCAAAAAGGGGTGACAGGATGATTTGGACTATGACGAGCGGGAATGTTGTGGCTGTGACCGGTTTCAACGATAATAGTACTCTTCATACTATGTACTCTGATGTGATGCAGATACATGGTAGTAGACATCGTATCTGTGAGTAGGACCAAGGCCTCTGCAGGGTATAATTATTTATACATGGGCAGGGAGACTTCTTATCCATAAGGTACCTTAGAAATACGCGTAATGCCTATATCCCGCCTAAAAGCCCGGGGCACCCCCCTCCGCACCCAGGGCTTAGGGGCTTACAGCAGGCTTGAGGCTAAGGGGTGTCTCAGGCACCGGATACGCCCGTAGGACTAGGCCTAAGCCCCGGAAATCACCGATGTAGGGATAATCGCTGATAGCTTCCTGTGCAGTATAACGGCGTGATTAGGTGGACAGATACATGAGGTAGGTACGTACCAGGTATTAACCACGGCGCAGGAGTCATCGACCACCCACCATCGACCACCCACCACCGACCACACCGTGACCAACGTCGCCGTCAAGAGGCTACTGCTCCTGCCTTTTCAGTCAAATCCTTACAATCAGTCTCAGCCATGGATAGTTCGGATACAAGGACAAGGACAAGGACAGATGACACACCGGCGTCCACGCTCGTTCACGTGGACGAAGCTGAAGACGCTGCCCAAACCATGGCTCCAAGGAGATTCAAGTGTGTCGAGCTCCTTTATCCTTGTTTTAGCCGAACCTGATCTGTCATCCGCAGAGCTTGTCGTACTTGTAAGCGTCTCAAGGTACTGTAGTGCACTCACTTAGTTGTATGACGGTTGACCACGACCACGACCGAATGAATCACTCACTGATCTTGATTGCTGCCGCAAAGATGAAATGTGAGGGTCTGGAGCACGTGCCTTGCAGACGGTGTCAAGCCACCAGGACCGAATGCATCTTCGATCTGATCGAAGCTCCAAAGCGCCAGCCGAAGCGTCAGATCGAGGATGACATGTCCAGCTCCGAGAAGTAAGTCAGAGTCTACCCCGTTTTCTACCGGCTACTTAGCAATATGTATCGATCAAACACTAACCGCTCTGCTCCCTCCAGATTCAGGTCTCTTCAAGATGAGATTCGAGACCTGCGTGAAGCAGTCCAGTCGCTGAGCCGAGCCACGAACCACGCAGTTCCAGAGCTCAGCCTCAGAAGTCACGTCGACGTCGAGGAAACCCATTTTCCCCCAGACGGCGCGGACGGAGAGCATGGACGCCGAGTCCGACGACGGACAGAGTACTCTAGACGCCACTTCAGCTCAGAGGACACAGATGATCCAAGTCTCGGAACTACTGCAGCTGCGTCTGTGTCTGTGTCTCGGGGTAGTAAAATGCGCGAGAGGGACAAAGACCAAGCTGCCACGCAGACCCATGAGACCTTGACTCCAGGATTTGCGTCGCTTGCTTCACCGAAGAGGCAGAGATCTCCAGAAGACTTGATCTCAAAAGGGCTGATACCAGAATCCCTTGCTCGAGAACTATTTGAACGGTTTGTTGATCGTCCCTTGAATGATCTCATGGGTTTGGTTTGGCCAGTTCAGTACCACTTACCAACGCAACTAGGTTCCAAGTTCGCTGTAACGTGTATCTACCACTGTTCGACCCTCTCACCGATACATTCGAGTCGATTCGATCACGGTCGTCCTTCTGCTTCGCTGCAATCCTGGCCATCGCGGCTCGGCTGCCCAATGCCAGCCAGTTCAATGAACCGCGAGTCATGGAACTGTGTCAAGGAGAAGCGCGTGCTCTCGCTGTCGAGACTTTGTTTGATAGTACCCCGCGCGTGGAAACCGTCCAAGGCATGATCCTTCTGGCCGCCTATTCACAGAGGTGCTGGCATGCAGTTGGACACGCGGTAAGATTGGCTCAGAGCATACGTCTCGACGAGTCTCTGTCGAGGCTGATGGTGCTGCTTCAAACCCCTTCCGAACCGCCCACTGGCATCGGTCTACATACACATACGGACGGTCGAGTCATGGCTGAACGGATCAATCTGATGCGACAAGTCAGAGTCTGGGTGACAATGGCTCATTTGGAACAAGAGATTGCTTCCGGCAGTGGCAAGCAATCCCTCATCGAGCCGGACGAGGTATTGAACGTGAACGTCAGGCAACTGATCCAAGACCCCTTCTATCCACGGCCTGACGTACACATCCTTGCAGCGATAGAACTTCTCCGACATCGTGGTGAGCATTTGAAAATTCTCGGCGAGGTCCGGATTCAGGGTCAGATTCTGACTTTTGATTTTGGCAGATGAATTTCGCCATGATCTGAAAATTGACTCGTGCGGAAGCGGTGGCTTACTCTTGGAAAGAGTGCAAGCCCTCATCGTGGTCTTGGATGAGTGTTTGGATTTCTGGGATGGCATACTCAGAGGTACATACATATTGTCTCCATAAAAGTCCTGCCCTCGTCGGCGATACAATCATCTGACTACTATGTACTTACTTACTACTAGACATGAACTGTCCCGAAGACGGGTTCCAGAGAGTCCATCTCGCCATACAGCGCAATTCAGCCGAGATCGACGTATGCTGTGCGATCCTCGACAGGATGTCAACTTCCAGAGACTTGGACCAACCTACTCCCACTACCATATTTGAGGATGTGATGCTATTGCGCCTGCTCACATGCTCTGAAACTCAACTGTCTCTCATCCTGGAGCCCAAATCGCACCACTGGAAACTGTCAGGGAGTCCCGTGTATTCCTGTGTCTCCGTCGTTTCCACCAGTGAGTTTCCAGCCGAAATTCCGAATACCTTTAGAAAGTGATTCACATCTGATTGACATGGTCGCAGTTGGATTGGCGTTGAAGATTCTCAAGCACCGACCGCAATTACGGGATCCCGCGCCCATCATCAGTCTCGTTTGCCGCGTGGAGGAACTCCTTCGTGAGTATCCCTTTGCCACTTACCACCGTGTCCTGGAATCGTTGAAAAGGTCGCTTCTCAGCAGCACCGAGAGCGCTGGTCTGGACCACACTGGCGATGGCGAGGGAGTCGAGGTGCTCGACTGGAATCACGGTGCATTGCGCAACAAGTGGACGTTCACGGCGAACAGTCATCGGGATCCGGCTCCAGCATCTGTGACGGTTGATGTGGTTGACTCGGGATCAATGAGAGGCTTTGGCTGGCTCTCGCCTGGTACGCAGCTTGACTCGTCAGGCGTATCTTCGATTTTTGGGACTAATGGCTCGATGAGCTTGTGGGATTCCTGTAATCTGAATGATGATTACTACGGAAATGGCATAGCACCGTATGGAGGAGTATACTACAGATAGCTTGTAGCTACTACCTACAACTGCAGTACATAGTAGTGGTGGTAGTACTTAGAGGTATTTAAATACTATGTACTATTATCTTCATTAGAGGTTAGATCTAGATTATAGTACATATACTAGTATACTGTATACATACTACTATGTATGTACATAGTAGTAGTATTCGAGATTATGACCGGATTAAACCCGGATTAAACCCGGATCGAAATTTAAAGTAGTATGTACCTCTATTGTTTCTTTGGGAATACGTTATAGTCTTCTACTATAAGTACCTAGTACTACATATGCTTAGTATCCTCATCAAGGAGGACCGCCAAGGTAGTCCCAGACCGCCAGAGCGTGAGTCTTAATGACGGCCAGATACTCGCTGATTGCCACGCGCTCATTGACGGCGGCCATGGTGTCTGGAGAGACGCCGTAGACGTAGGCGGGAATGCCCAAGTAGCGCCAGAACTTGGTGTCGGTGGCACCGAGCGAAGGAATGGCCAGCGGTTTTCTCCCGACGACACGTTCTGCATTGGCGGCGATGGCATCCACGAGCGGATGGTGCGCGGGACAGTGGCTGGCCGGGTTGCTGGCGGCGGACTGAACCTGCAGAGTGACAGCGGGAAAGTCCTCCAGGATGGAGTGGATATGGTCGAGCACGGCTTGGCGGTCTAGGCCGATGGGCAGACGGATGTCGGCCTCCATGACACATTTCTCGGGGATCATGTTGACCTTGAGGCCGCCGTGGATGGTGCCGATGTTGAGAGTTGGGCGGAGGAACAAGTCGGCGGCGCCTGGGCCCATGATTTCGTCCGCCACGTCACGCACATCGGTGCGCTGCAGATGGCTGCGGAGGTCCGGGTCGAGGTCGGGCTCGATGTCCTGCACGCTCTTCAGCCGGTCGATCAGGCGGGTGACGATGAAATTGGCGCCCTCGAAGGCATGCGTATAGGCGCCGTGTCCACCGGCCGTCTTGACCGTGAAGGTGAGGCGCAGACTGCCCTTCTCGCCGAATCGAATCGACTGGAGGCCTCCTGGCTCGGCGTTGATCATGCAGTCGCCGCGCGACCGGGCGTCGTGCTCCAGCAGCCATCGGGAGCCCCATTTGCCTCCGGTCTCTTCGTCCGACACCACGGCCAACGTCACCCGCCCGCGCAGACTCGCTCGGTACTTGTGCAGGTATGTAAATGCGATGATGGATGCCGCCGTCCCTGCCTTCATGTCCACCCCGCCGCGTCCATGGATGTACGTGCCGTCGTTGTGGCCGGACCATGGCCCGTACGTCCAGTCGGCCGCATCGGCCTCGGCCACAGGGAACACGTCGATGTGGCCGTTCATCACCACTCGGGGTCCGTCGCCACTGCCTCCGGTGATTTCGCTCAGGATGTTGGGCATGCGCTCTTGCGGTGCGATGGTTTCGCTTTCAACGCCATGCCCGCTCAGGTATTCGCGGATCACGCTTGCCGCCTGCACAGTATCGCCGGGGGGGTTGGGTGACGGAGCCTGGATGAAAGACTGCAAGAACTCGACATGGGTCTTTTCGTCGGCCGTGATTGCGGCGAGAAACGCGGCTTTGTCCATCATGGGATATGGATTGATTCCAGACAATGAATGTGTGGGCTATGTACTTCGGAAGGCAGACGATAGCAGGCGTATCAATTGACGGACGGAGTGTCTGTCGAGGACGGAGTGTATGTACTTCAGATCCCAGTTCAGTGACTGAACTTCGGATAGCAGGCGTGTCAAGGACCGAGTGTCTGTAATCAACTCAATCAGCAGATAATCGATTACATTGTCTCTAAGGTCTCTGAATACTATATACGAGCACGACATACCACTACCACTTAGTAGTCTGTACTATCATGATTCAGTATCCACTGGTGGGTGGGCCGTGGCCCTCGACCGGCTCCGGGTGAGAAGCGGTGCACGCCTAGTCCTCACGACTTCGGGTCTGCACCGGCGCCGGCGCTGTGGCGAAGACGTAGGTACGGCATTGACTTCATCTCCAGCGAGGAGTTGTGACCCATCTCGTATCGAGCCCTGGCAGGACCTGTGAGTAGTAAGTCGTACCATCCCATCAGTGAGTGAGTGCCTGACACAGCGACGTCGGGCTTGCACAAGACATGGCACGTGATCTAGTTCTCGCGCTGTTCCTCATTGGCTCTAGAGGGTCACGGGGAATCTTAGTCATCGTGATAATCTCAACTGCGTGTCGTGTCACCAATGTCCAGGAGTAGAGTGTAGACATGGGCGATGACGTCGTGTCGCCGACCAAGGCACCCAAGCACTACATAATACATATACTTGTACGACAACACCAACACCAAGTTTTCGCAAATCATTTCGTATTACACGTGCCCTCTTCTCCCACCTGAGGCCATCTTCGGGAGGCTTGGGTCTTTCTGGGAACCGTCAAGAAACAACTTGGACTTCGCTGTCCCGCACTACTGATTTCACCAATGGACGCAGTAAGGTCGATGATGTCCAGCGGGGACGGCGATGGCGACGGCGATGGCGATGGCAAACCGCTAAACAGGGACGACCTGGTGAAAACGGTGGAGAGTCTACAAAAGGCGCAAAAGGCACAGTCGACGGCCAACGATCTCAAATCCAAGGCCATGGCCATGACCGACTCCACCAAGCGGGAGAAGATGCTAAGGGAAGCCTTTGACAAGGAGGTCGAGGCTCATGGCCACACCAAGATGGCGAAACGCATGCAGAGTGGTACCTGGCAGGGCCTGGGATTCGGGGGCGGCATCGGGGCTGCCACTGGACTCGGCCTGGGGGCGGGCTTGGGCACCGTGCTGGGAGCTATTGCGGCGGTGCCTACAACGGGGATAGGCATGCTTGTGGGCAGTGGAGTGGGAGCCATCCACGGGCCATGGATCAAGCTGGGTGGCAAGGAGGAGAAGTTTGAGGAGGCCGACCCCGAAAAGATTGCGGATGCGCTGGAGGAGGCGAGGGTCGCTCAAGGCAACGCGCAAGGCGAAGGTATTCCCGAAGAGGGTGGTCAAAGTGCTGCACAGAACTCGAAGCCGAGAAGGAAACCGAAGAAGTTGGAAATCAGATCCCAGCCCAAGGGGCAAACAGAATCATCAGCCAATCCACAGCCGGATCAACAGGGCGCATCGAGCGAGGCTTTGGGGGGTGTGAACAAAGGCGTTGCCGAGGAGTCGAAGCCAAGAAGGAAGCCGAAGAAACTCGAGATCAGATCGGGACAGGGACAGAGACAGACTCGGAGTGGCAATGAGTGACGGGGACACCATCAGTACTACTATGTCGTACATAGGAAACAGTCCTGGTTCTGGTATTGTCACAGTCACAGTCACATCCATCCCAAGACAGGGATTGAGGCACTGGGCAATCATAATAGGAGTCGCATCTTGAACAAATCCTTCTCTACAATCTCCTTCTTTCGAGCCAGCAGCTCTTCCACATCCCAGTTCGCACAGAAGTAGCGGCCAGACAGCCAGCCGCGCTTCTCGGCGGTTAGCCAGACACAGACTCCGCCGGGTAGAGAGATATCGTCGGTCAAAACTGCAGGTCAGGACGGAATCTGATTAGCCTCTAGAGGGACGGAGGCCAACCAGGAAACGAGAAAGAGATAGGGAAAGGACGAGGCAAATGGAAAGGGAGAGGAAAAGGGAGAGGAAACGAGAAAGAGAAATGGAATGGAAAGGGAAAGGGAAAGGAAAAGGAAAAGGGAAAGAAAAGGGAAATTAAAAGGGAAGGGAATGGGAGAGGGAAAGGAAAGGAAATGAAAAGGTCGTACTCACTCTCCTTCCACACAGCAGGATAAAGCTCAGCAATAGGAGTCTGGATACAACCCGGGTGCAGAGCGACGGCCACGACGCCATCAGCCTCATAATGGTCTTGGTGGATATGTTCGGCCAGGCGGTTGACGGCCAACTTAGAGATGTTGTAGGAACTGGGCACCAGGGCGCTGCCGCGGTCCAGCGACGACGCGCTCGACGAGAAGATGATGGTCTGTGGCCCGTCGCGCGTGCGCTGGAGCAGTGGAAGAAAGGCGTTGGCCACGAGAAACGAGCCGACCAAGTTGGCGGAGAGGACGCGGGCAAAGTCTGCTCCGTCCTCGGCGGCGACGCTGGATGGGAAGTGGAAGTGAGTGCCGGTGCCGGTGCCAGTGACCGTGTCGTTGTCATTGTCTGCCAACAACGCCGGCGCGACACCTGCATTGGCTACGAGGACGTCGAGCCGGCCGAAAGTCTGGTCGACCATGTCGCGCAACGCCAGCACCTGGGCTTGAATGGTGACGTCGACGGCAAAGGGCACGACTTGGAAGTGTGCTTGGGAGTGTGCTTGCCCTTGTGCGTGTGCTTGTGCTGGTGCTGGTGCCTGTCCTTGTCCTTGTCCTTGTCCTTTGGTCGACATTGCCCGCATGTCAGATATCTCTTGCACCACGCCGTCCAGATCCCCCAGTCTCCGCGACGTCACCACGATCCCAGACGCACCGGCCTGGGCGTATGCTTTAGCGACGGCGGCGCCAATGCCTTTGCTGCCGCCGACGACGACGACCACGAACGGCGATGGGAGCGTCACGCGGCTCGGGTCGATGGGCCCTTCGGCCGCGCGGTAGTATTTCTGCGTCACGTTGAAGCCGCGGTCGGCGGGCATTGCTCGAGCCCAGGCGGGGGGGGAGAAGTTGAGATCAGACATTTCTGGGTCTGGGTCCGGGTCCGGGTCTTCTTTTGCTTTTGCTGTTGCTGAATGCCGGGGTTAGGGTTAGGGTTAGGGTTGAATGCTAGATGCTGAATGCTAGATGCTGAATACCAGTAACCCTGGGCACAAGACAATAGTATATACTAGATGTATCCGTACTTAGTACCTAACCTGTCACATGTACGGACACTTCACCCATTCATATGGTATGCCAGGAGGTCAGTCAGTGTGTACAGTATGGCTGTCAGGGTCAAGAGCTAAGGCAGGGAATCCAATCCGAGTTTGTCAGCCTTCTTCCCTCTCCCTTACTGGATACTGTGTACGGAGCACTGCTTGGATGTATCCATTTGTCCACGCAATATGTACATACATGGTAACTGTGACTGTGGTTGTGATTGCGATTGTGATTGTGGAGCGGGCTTCCTAAGTTGAGGCTACTACTCCATACATGGTATCCTGTCATATCAGATCCTATCATATCATTCATGATACATAGGATATATATAATAGTGATAATGATAGTGATGGTGACAGCGATAGCGATAGTGACGGCGAGATCGACTTTAAAGCGCGCCTATCGATAGGTACATATATACTGTAGTATGTAGGTAGGAGGAGGTCGGTACAGTATCGCGATAAGCTAACCGCGCACCGCGCTCCCCAAGGCTAGAGCCCCTAACCCCTGCCCCTGAGCCTGACTGAGCTTCGGCGAGTACTGTAGCAATGTAAACTGACACGTACATTACCTAGTACTCCGTGCATATTGGGGATACTACAGTCGGCGCACGGTAATACATACCTACATAGTACTACTACATACATACTACCTTACACAGGCCTACAGGTAAGGTATATACCTAAGGTAGTCCAAGCGGTACTTGGAACTTGGTAATCACCGAGGTATATATTGTCTCCCTCCTCAAGGTAATTTCTTTGCATTGATAGGGGGGTTAGGCTCGACTGCCATTACCATTACCACCACTACTACTACCACTACCACCACTACCATCACTATTACCACTGCCACCACTGCCACCACTACCACTACCACCACTACCACTACCACCACTACCACTGCCACCACTACCACTACCACCAC